ACGACGAACGATTGTATGTATACACTGCGTACTTTTCCACTTTTTTTCCTCCGGTTTCTTTTATCCGTTCCGTACCTCAATCATTCGCCCATGAAATTTGACGCAACTCTTTAAGCGACACCGACACCCGACACCGAAGATCTCGTTGTGTGCGTGCTGACAATTCGTACAGGCTACCAACTTATGAAAATAAAGACTCTATGTAAGAAACTTGCATCAGTTTGCTTATTCTCAACAGAGAGAAACCTGAGAGACGTCACAGGTTTCTCTCCGTCTCAAACAAACATTTTAAATTTTTATAGACGCCATCTAATTATTTCTCTAATTTTATATATAAAATTAAATATTTATTAATAATTACAAATTAAGTATTATTATAAATTTAATATATGTATATGTAAGGAAAAACATACCTTTCGAACAAAAATTTTGTCGAGAAGATAAGCTTTATCAATTTATAGAAATCGCGAGTTGATCACCACTGATAAATCATATGGAACTAGTGATGCCAGTTTCGAGACGCTGCCACAGCGTGTGGAGGGGATAGCGCACCAAGCGTAAACCGTGTACGTGTAATGCGCAGAACGCTCTGCGCATTACACGTACACGGTTTACGCTTGTGTGCGCTATCCCCTCCACACGCTGTGGCAGCGTCTCGAAATTGCCATCACTAATGGAACCGTCGACTGACTTCAGACAGTTGCGAGTTGCGACCTATGGGAGAGACAAGAACGAGTTAGCTTAGCGAATCTCGAGAGATTTCGAGCAATGTTTATGCATCACTAATGGAACCGTCGACTGACTTCAGACAGTTGCGAGTTATGGGAGAGACAAGAACGAGTTAGCTTAGCGAATCTCGAGAGATTTCGAGCAATGTTTATCTTCCATTCTACTTTGTAACGAATAATATTTGTTTTTCTTCATTATAGATACATTTACAGCAATAAAATGGCATCGATCGCTCGCGTTGGTATCGCGAGACTCGGATACAATAACCTTACTAGACAATTATGTAAGGTTAGTAATAATATAGTGTTAACAGGTCTTATTTTTAAACATTCCACGGAATAATTGACATCAATAATTGAATTCGTCATCAGTATAAATGATATTCACCGTAAAAAAGGAGGTCTCTCGTTATAGACGACACTGTAAAATGTCAATATAATGTTGATATAAATATATACATATGTTCTGTCAACCTGTCATATGTATTATGTAGGTAACAACCACCAGCAATGTAATGCAATTAGCATTCATCTCACATAAGTCAAAACGAGTCGATCGACGACGAATTCCACCATTCGACTACTTGAATAAACAATATGGTTTCTGGGCTCAGCTTTTCGATCCTATGGTCGATCGATGCGATGAAAATACCAAGGTAATCGTCGTTGAAGGTCCCATCGCCGCAGGAAAGTCCGAAGTGGCCGCGAAATTAGCGGAGGAATTGGAAATGGTTTATTTACCGCCACCGACCTTTGATGAATATTATATAAATGAATATGGATATGATTTGCGTACGTTAGATGACAGACTGTCTCCACCATCACAATCATGTGATGTGCAAAAATTCCTGACGAATCCGTATCATCCCAATGTGCCCATGTTTCAATTTCACTATTTCCAATTAAAGTTTGATCAGTACATTACTGCTCTACTGCATTTGCTGTCAACTGGTCAAGGAGTGGTGCTCAATCGCTCTTTCTACAGTGATTATGTATTTGCGAAAGCGATGACAAATGCTGGTTATATGCGTCCACAGGCATTGAAATTTTATACTGATATCGTAGATGTTGCAAAATTAATGATGTTGAGGCCTCACTTAATCGTTTATTTGGATGTACCTGTTGATGCGGTCAAGGTAATTTTATTTTATTGTCATGAATAATCAGATTTTTAATTCTCTTTTGTATAGCCCATATTTAAAATATTTGGTGTTAATTTCTACTATGTTCAACATTTGCAGGAGAAAATAAAAAAACGGGGTATACCATACGAAGTCAATTCAAAGGTTCTCACATCAGAATATCTTCTAGATATCGAAAATATATATAAACGCGATTATCTGAGCAATGCTATAACACATTCTCATGTACTAGTCTATGACTGGACGAATGAAGGAGATGTTTCTACTATTGTTGAGGACATGGAATTGTTAAACTTTGATTACGATAAGAAAGATAAGAAAATGTCAGATTGGAGATTTGAAACCGTTCAGGAACTTCGAACTAAGAGACAAATTTATGCAAATAGATATTTACTGCATATCGATTATATGAGAAACGAAATCACAGTACCAGAATTGCACTATACAGCAGAGCAAGATGAAGAAAGATATATGAAGATGCTAATGGTGCGTATATACAATACAGAAGGTTTGTCTACAATAAAAGTTCATCAATTATATATACCATAAATTACCATTTAATCGTAACACAGTAATAAATTATATATACAATAGTTCATATAATAAATTGAATGTTAAAAGAAATGTATTCAGTTTGTATTATGAAAATTAAATTACAAAAAAAATTAACATTTAATATTTCCCACTTAGATTCATCACATGTAATTATTACTCTTGTTACAGGTACCTGGAAATAAATATGCTGAGGGATTCAACCCTTCTATGGGAGATAAAAATATTCTGTGGAAATCCAAACGAGCTCCTCTTATTAGGACTATGAGAAACCATCCGCGCGAATTAGAAGTGATAGAAGAAGAAATGAAGAAACTTAAAGCCGCTTTTTGATACAGTAAGAGAGTGGTATACTTAGGAAAAGTAGAACTTGTAAACATTGAATAAGGTAAAAATAAATTTAAACTATAATCAATAAATGGAAAAATAGTGACTCCCTTCATCCTTAATTTTTATCAAATTACCTCTATTTCATTGCTACATTTTTGTAGCAATAATAATTATTAATATCTTGAGTTTTGAAATATAAAAAAATCTGTTCCCATAACTTTTTTTGACACAGTTAAAAAAATCTACTTCAAATTTGTTAAAGAATGTGTTAAAGATTGATAGCAGTGAAATACTATATTATATTTATGAGTTGTATGTTTTAATAATAATAACAATAATAATAATCTCAATAATACACGCATTTGGATAAATCTATTTCAAATTGTGTGTTGTTGTATGTATAAATTATCTTTTTTCTTTTATGAATACATCATATAATATTAACATTTAAAAATATATTAATTTATATATTTACTGGCTCACATGAAACTCTTCAACATACATAGTATAAAGATTATATGTTACTTAAATATATTATACATATAACATATTTTTTTCTTTTTTTTTTTTTCTCAAGACACATTTCTCAAAGTTTTATTACATTGAAGCTCAAATGACAAGTAATCGTTTTATGATTTATTAATCAATTTGGTAAAACTTGTGTAATATAATAAATGTTAATATAATATTCATTTTTCGAGATGATTAATGATGTATATGATAATTCATATTAAAAAAAGAATAAGAATTGATCTGTACATACATCAGTATTAGGCAATATCTTTGAATGTATGTACAATATTTTTCACATTAGGATGTAACATGGATGTGACCTGTACACACACACACATATATATATATATATACATATATATATATATATAAGTAAAATCGCACGAAGTTATAAAATTATATCCGATAAATTACAGAAAAATTATGTTTCTTTGTCAAACACAAAAACTTTTTGATTATATATATTTTTATATTGATGATTCGACACACTGGAACTTAATTGCTCAAACATTATTCGTCCAGTTCTATCTATTGATCCACGAAATTTTTATGATAACATTTCTATAGTTGCGCTTTTTTTTCTTTTAGACATAAAAAGGGCACATTAACATTCGGAATGTTACGTTTAAGGCGACCTTTGACACTGTAGAAATTCCATTACAATCATTTGCCTTCGCATAAAGTTCATCTTGGAAGTAATTCTCGTACGTAACCACAATTGTATTTAGGACCGTTTCTCGCAAGTAGACAAATTCTACGGGCATATATAACATTTATATAAAAAATTCCATTTAATTGGAAGGAAACCGGCAGTGGTTTACTTTTTGCCTGTTATTGAATTAGAAATTCAACAAATTACATTCCATCAAAAAAATTAAATTGATTACCCTCCATTATATCTCTTCATTTGTTAGCTAAACCTTTCCTTCTTCCTCCCACATATCATCCTTTCCGCGAGTCATATAAATATCGTTTACGTTTCTATATCGCGAAGATTATAAAGTCACATTTTTTTATCGGAATATCGAAGTAGTGATCGCTGAAGATAAAGAAACATACGTCCTAAGGAGCTAAACTACAGCAGGAGTTGGTTTTCCGTGCAGTCTTGTAAAACGCCTTCGACTGAGCGCTAAGTCCCTCTGACTTGGAGACTAGATCATCCAATTTCTCCCCCCTCTGCAGTACTGCCTCTAAGGTATTGTGCTGACAAAAAGTGTTATAGAATTTTGAATATTTGTATGACTGATGTTTTATAAAAATGGACATTTCTTACTAGTTCAATGAATCGCTCTTCAGAAATTAAATAAGATATTGCAAAGAAAATTTGTCTCTTACCAAGATGATTTTTGTCTCGTCTAGGTCATTTTGCATTTTCGTGAGCGCATCCGCCTCAACCGGATTCTGATACTTGGCTAGATATATATTGATCTGTGGGAAATCAGCAGTGGTCTCCTTGAGCTCAGGCCATGTCGATGGCAGATTTTTCACTGCAAACTCATCCATCACCTTTGTGATCAAGGTATGCGCCACTCTTCTGGGGTATTCGTGATCCGAGATGAGTACTGCGGCAAGATTGTCGGCGCGCACGTATACATGGCACATGTACTCTGTGTAATATCATAATGCGCGTTGTAATAACATTGTTATCTCTCTCTCTCTCTCTCTCTTGCAATGATATAAAAAATTTATTCCTATTGTGATTACCTCCTTCTTTGACACTCTGTCTAGCACACGTCTGTGTTCTTTCAACAATAGTTTTACTGACAAAACACATAAATTCCTTAATACTATTTCTTTGAAAAAACGAGAATGACTCTACATCATAAGCAGCTTTCAATGTCGTAGCCGATGTAGGACTTTTATACAGAACAGTCAATGCGTACAACTTCACCATCTTAAGCTGCAAAATAATATAAATACAGTATCAATGTATATTTGGCAATCAACCTATGCATCTTATTATAAAAATCTTTTAGAGTATCTATAAATACATGTCTATTTTCTATATATCAAATTGTTGGAAAATTAATTAATTAACAAGTATTAGCAGGAATAATTAACTTTATAGAATGAGACTTTATAGTATAAATATTTTATTATCTATCTAAATTTATAGCCTTCTTATGTATATGTAAGCAGTATAATAAGTTGTTAAAAGCAAAGCAAACTGCTTGTATATGTAAATTTCATAAATTACGCAATTTGCAATGATTTATTATTCAATTGTCAAATCTGACACAAGTCACGAGATTCATATGTAAATCTTAGAAAATCAATATTATCCGCTTGAGGACTTTTTTTATGCTAAACTTACACGAAAAAAGTAGAGAAATCTGTGTCAAAAGTGGCATTGAAAATATATGTCAAATACATACCTGTGCTTTTTTTATAATACTTATATAGTTACAACTTGCGCGGGATCTCTTTGGTGATCGCAGTGAACCCTGGCGAATCCTGCCGCTCGTGTAATTCGACTATCAAGCAGGACGTTTACTCGCCGCGATAATTCACTGGAAAATCATCTTGTTTTTTTTTCAAGCAAATACAGTCACCTCAATTCTATGAGATACGAAAGCAGCCATATTGACCATGATGCATATCATGCAGTGACACTCATTCGCGCTTATCCAAGATATGTTCTTTTCGGGTCTTCTTTCGCATTCCTTTCTATTGGTGGATTCAGATTGCGTTCGATATATACGAAATTCCGATATAAAATAGAAGAATATAATTTCTAAGAAAATTTATGACGATCTAAAAGACGAGTTGAATATGGGACATTTTCAAATTTATTAATAACGAATTTATATTCCTATAATATACATATATATTGCATGTTCTATATAAAATCGCAGAATTTATTTTCTAAAGACTTGAATTACACAAAATGATGAAATTGAACGTTTAAATGAGCGGCTGCTTGTGATTGGTGCCTACTCTTATATCTATCCTAAATCTAAAAGTATACGCCAATCACAAACAGCCGTTCAATGAACAATTGTATTGAATGCACCATAGACATCTATGGTATATCATGGTTTATGGTTGGCAGCTTATGGGAGCCATGATGTTTGTCATGTTTTTTTCATTCTCCATCACTTGCAGCCATCGTCATTGATTGTTGTTAAACGGATTTATTTTTGTCTCTCGTTGATATTATATAGAAAAGTTATTCGCGCTAATAGGCATCGGATCGCATTGTTTACATGAAGATACAACATTACAACCACCATGACGACCGCACTGTACTTGGAGCACTATCTCGACAGTGAGTTTTAACGATTGCCAGTGTATTTTTGCAATTTTCTTTATTTTATTCTATTTTCTTTTATCTTATATTTAAAAGAGCAAGAAAGAAGAATGACTTATGTCTTATCATTTTTATTTGATTTGTTCCTTTCTTTCTCTTTTTCTTATTTTTCTCTATAGTTTTTACATTTCAACATTTCCCTTCTGCTTAACTTTAACTATCAAATTGTAAATGGACATTTATTCCGTTTTTTATCTGCATAAATAAATTTTAAGCTTGATTGACATCATTATTATTAGTGAAATAAAATCTGTAAATATATGTTGTAGGTCTCGAGCATTTACCAATCGAATTACAGAGGAATTTTACACTGATGCGAGACTTGGACGCGAGAGCGCAGGGTCTGATGAAGGACATCGACAAGCTGGCGGATGATTACTTAAGAAATATAAAGAAAGAATCATCGGAGAAGAGGAAAGAACAGCTCGCCCATATTCAAAGTCTTTTTAATAAAGCAAAGGAATATGGCGATGACAAGGTTCAACTAGCTATTCAAACCTATGAATTGGTTGATAAGCACATCAGACGTCTGGATTCGGATCTAGCAAGATTTGAAGCAGAGATACAAGACAAGACATTGAACAATAGTAGAGCGCAGGAGGAGGGCAATGCCAGCAAGAAAGGTAGAAAGAAGCTTAAGGAGAAGGAGAAGAGGAAAAAAGGCAATGCAGTGAGCAGCGAGGACGAAGCCAAAAACGCGAGAAAGAAACAGAAAAAAGGTATGTCTATATCAAGCTGCAATTACAGCTTATTATACAATTTTGTTAATTTTTAAATGTTAACTTCATTATTTTATGAATATAAATGTGTGCATTTATATCAGGTGGCTCTGTGGCTTCAGCATCGTCCACTGGTGCTGTGGGTAGTGGCGCCCAAGTGGATTCGACAGCACTCGGACATCCGGCTGATGTTCTGGATATGCCCGTTGATCCTAATGAACCGACTTACTGTCTTTGTCACCAAGTATCGTATGGAGAAATGATTGGTTGCGATAATCCAGATGTAAGTTTTGTCATCTGCAATCTTAATGATTACTTTGTTTTTTTATTTTAGATTCACTATATCTTAGAGAAAATTTAATTGCATGCACGATTTATTTATTATTATTAATTGATTTTATTTAAAAATATTAGTTTTTTTTTAAATTCTTTTAAAATGAAATTTATTGATTAATCTCTCTTAAAGAAAACTGTAGTTGTTTATTGACGTTTTTAAATATGCATTCTCTTAAAAATTTTATTTTTATATTTTTATTACAATTCAAAAATTATAGATACTATAAGATTGAGGCAATTAATTGTTTATTTTTTTCACTTTTCAGTGTCCCATAGAATGGTTCCATTTTGCCTGTGTAGGTTTAACTACAAAACCTAAAGGGAAATGGTATTGTCCTAAATGTACGCAAGATCGCAAAAAGAAGTAAGAAGTATTAGGAATTTTTAAATCTGCTCATTGCTACATTTTTAAAGAGAAGACTATACTGTACGTTATTTCTAAAACTAGAGTACATAACTTTTTTGCATTAAAAGTTAAATATAATATTTTTTTTTATAAAAGTACCATAGAAAAAATTTATGAAAGGGATGTAAGAATAATAAGATTGTGCATGATACATTTCCATTACATCTAACACTGATAACAAGACAGTCTTTCCATATTTCTGTACGGCGCATATAGCATTAAATGTGCGATATGCAAGTATTAAAATCGCTAAATATTCATAACAGTTGTTTTAAAAAATTAAAATTTTTTAACATGAAATTGTTTTTTCATTTAAGAAGCTAAGATCGCATTGTAGACTTTTCCTATATTAGGAAGAATCTAAAAAATTTTTTTATTTTATAATAGCATTGTGAATTGATTAATGCACATATGTATGGAACTTTTGTGATCTTATTCTTAAATGTATCAAATAATTCTATTAATATTTATTATCCATTTTAGATGTAATGGAAGCACAATTCGGACATAAGTTTATCACAGACAGAAAACGTTTTGAGAATCGGCCATTGTATCTCTCTATCGCGCTGTATATTCCCCTTAGAACATATATAAATGGAAGGGAACTGCCTTTGTTTCCCGATAGAAAAACATGTCGGAAGGAAGTAAGAAAGAAAATCATAGTTGTCTCTCTCTCTTGTGAGTAACTCTGCTCAAAAGTGCGCATGCACGGCCATGTGTGTGTACACAAAAGTATGTACACTACAGACACGATGCTTGTATGTGTAGTTACTCGTTTCCCGATAGAAAAACATGTCGGAAGGAAGTAAGAAAGAAAATCATAATTGCCTCTCTCTTGTGAGTAACTCTGCTCAAAAGTGCGCATGCACGGCCATGTGTGTGTACACAAAAGTATGTATACTACAGACACGATGCTTATATGTGTAGTTACTCCCAAGAGAGAGGCAACTACATTTTCTTTCTCACTTCCTTCCGACACTTTTCAGCCTGCTATTCCCCTTCCATTTATATATGTTCTAAGATATTTCCTTTACATATGGGAATAGTAATTTATTGACAATTTAAACCGTCGTATACATAAGAATTGCTTGATATTGTTTTTTTTTTTATACGGCCGTTTCTTGAATATATCTGTGATTTGTTCGCAATGTGATCATCTAGTATTGGTCTAACATATAGTTTTAATTATAGTATTAAAATATTAATGTTATTACTGTTTTTATATATTATAAATGTAAGTCGCAGTATATT